TACGCCTATGAAGAATGAAGAATATCAAACTAAAAGGGTGTGGGTTTAGCCTACGCCTGTCCAATTTCCATGTTAGTGTGGTTGGTAAATTTTTTTACCATTTCCTTTGTGATTCCGTGAACAGCAAAGAGACAGAAGAGATTGTTACTGGCTACTGTTAAGTTTCTAACATGCAGCAATAGGCTACTCTACTCAACCGCAGAAACATCACTGCATATATAGAACTGACGAATCTGTATTTCGCTTACCCGGCAAGGCCAGAACAGATGATTTTCGGGTAAATCCACTGTCATCGGATTATTGAAAGATTTTACGAATCAGTAAAGCGATTTCGACCGGAGGCAGCTGATGTCACATATCGCAATAGTGAGTAGAGACTCAGGAGCCAACGCTTTTCGGAACAATCCGGCAACATAGTTAAAGAGAACTATGGAGAATCTTAATTTATAAAAAAAAAAAAAGGTCGTACCCAGTGCACAAGGCTCCCGCTTTACGCAGGGTCTGTGAGAGGTGAATGTCGGCTAGCCTTACCCCCATTTATGAAGAGGCTGCTTCCAAGTCTCGAACCCGAGACCTACCGCTCATGGGCGAAGGCACTTGCCATCGCACATAGTTAAAGAGAACTATGGAGAATCCTAATTTATAATGTACAAAAACATTATACATCTCCCTATCCTCTCATTGAAACTGATACACATAACATGTGTTACATTTTCAACAAGGCAACGTTTCTATAACGCAGTGCTTCGAAAGATGGATATCAAACCTACCGTGGAGAAAGAGGACTAAAGTGTAAAGCTATTCGGGGTCCAAAAGCAGAGGATAGCGCTTGATCGAGCGATTCTGGAAAAACCAAACAAGATGATGGTGTGTTGGAGACTCTAGTCCAACAAACGCTCGACGAGATGGTCAGAAGAACATGTGTGATGGTAGCTCATCGGTTGTCTGTCCACACCACAAAAGGAGACTTCATTTCTGTGATAAAGAAGGGAATGTTTGTATAACAAAGGTTCACACAATGAGTTACTTGTACAGTGAGAAATGGCGTGGTCTAGTTCTAAAATTGTAAAGGAGTTTTAACGAAACACTTATGGTACTGTTCATTTTAACAAAACATGACATTTTTACTCTAAAAAGTTATTCCTGGTACTATTCATTTATAACACATATTTATCATTTTGATTAAAACTCAAAGTTTTCAAGCTATTTTCATTAGTTTTCATAAATTTTAACCCTAATGATCAATCCAAAAAAGGATTGAACTGCATCAACTCGTTTTCAGGTTCATCGACGATCAATGAGTCCTCTTTGTCACAATTATATGTCTAAAAAAGTTTGGGTAAATTACATAATACCCCCTCAGGTTTGGGTGCAATTACAACCTCATGCAACATCTTTAAAACATTTCAATCTCATACATTTACTATTATTTCTTTTCAATTTTATACAACCGTTAAAAAATCTGTTAATTTAACCGTTAAGTGATGACGTGGCAAATATAGGGTTCCCATTTGTGTTGACGTGACTGCCACATTTGTGCCACGTGGCTAAACACTTAATAAAAAATTTAAAATATTAACATTAATTAATTAAAGAAAAAAAACACACAAATCTTCATCTTCTTCTTCCCCACTTGAGCCACCCCTTCTCCCACCACCACCACCACCTCTTTCCCCACCCGAGCCACCCTTCTACCATAACCACCCCCATCACTTCCGTACCAACAAAGCTTCTTCCTCCAGAACCACCACCATCAATTTCCTCATCTGCAAAGCCCGGAGCAACCCAGAAAATCCCAAGGCCTCCCTATGAATTTTGCCCCACCTTCCTCACCACCTCAAACCCTTGCCTCGATTTCTTCTTCCAAGTCGTGTCCTCACCTGCTACCCATTTCTTCCCCCCCATTTGCAACCCAAACAACAACCAGCAGCTTGATCAAACAACAACCCCTCCCCCATAAAAAAAATACCCATATTTGTTTTCAACACAAGAATCAACCAAAAAAATATATAAGATCTGAAACAGATTACTCATAAAAAAAATAAAAAAAAGATGGAACCTATTTCCCCCTACAAACACCATTGTTGCCCAGCCACTTGATCCCGGTGACCTCCTCCATCTCTTTCTCTTCCTCATTCTCTCACTCTAACCTCAAATTGGCGTCGATCAGAACCACGAGACACAACCAGCAACAAAATCGAAGGGCAACGAAATCTAAGTTTTGGGGATTTTGGCTTTAGGTTCAGTGCGGCTTCATCGAGCTCACCTTCGACGACTTCTGGACGACCTCTACCTTCCGTCAGAGGCTTAGATCTCATTGCGGCTTCGTCGAATAAGAGGTTGAGCTTCTGCTGGGACTTATGGTCCTTGAGTGGACCAAGTGGAGATGGAAGAACATGAATAGATGAATGTTCGGGTGTTTGAAACTTTTATCTATTTTTTAATAATTCAATTAGGCTTATTATATTAGCACCCCACAAATTGTTGAATAAACCCCACATACTTAATATAACCCACATTTACTTTTTCAATTAAAAATTATCTTAATACACCCCACTTTCTTCCCCATAATACCCTCACACCCCACATTCTTAATATACACCTTATATTTTCTATACACACCCCACATTTCTCAAATCTTATAGAACTCATTTTTATTTTGCCGAATGATTTCAAACTATCTGAACGTTAGTTTGCCGAATGATTTCAAATTGAATGATTTCAAAAAATGTTTAGGTTCATTTGAACGTTTTTCAATAACTATAATAATGATTTCAAAGCTTTCGAAACATCGACTTCGTATTCCATTCGTCAAAAATTATTTTTCTCAATCAACATGTTTGTAGTTTCATTGCTTAGGGTTTTATTCAACAATGGAGAATGTGAGGGGTTTTGATAGTTGAAATAGATAAATAATACATTAAAAGTGATTTGGGGTGTATTTATAAATTTTTTATTATTTTTTAAACCTAATAAGGTCAAAATTGTCATTACATAGTAGAGTAAATTAGTCATTAATATTAAATTTTAATGTGGGGTGCATTCAACATTTTGTGGGGTGTTAATATAAAAAATCTTCAATTATCTTTCAATTTTTTAGTTGAATTTCTAATTAATTTTAAACATAATAAAAATTATTTTTTAATCCACATGTCTGACTTGCTTCAGCCACATAGGCAGTTAACAGAAGGACTAACTCGAAAAGAGACGGTTGTATGAAATTGAAAAAAATAATAGTAAATGTATGATATTGAAATGTTTTAAAGATGTTGTATGAGGTTGTAATTGAACCCAAACTTGAGGAGGTATTATGTAATTTACCCAAAAAGTTTCTACGGATGAAATGAATCAGAAAGTGTGAATTCTAAAGGGTTATAATCTAATTGTTCAGCAAAGGAGCTACAGTTTAGCAAATTTTGTTTTGGGATGGAGTTTTAACATTACAAGAATTATTTTGGCGTGACTATCTGTTACTAATTTATCTATTATAAAATTAGCTGTTTTAAAATTTGGGGCAAAGATTTCATCTTACAGCTGAATTTTGGTAAATGTTTACTTTTTTCGAAGGGAGCTTACATGAAATAGGTATATTGCAACTTTTGCACTTATAGATTTGAGATATCAAAACGACAATATTCGTTTCATATAAGTCACTCTCACTTTTCCGACCTGCTAGAAGGTGTCTATACAAACTAACTTGTTCGAGATGTCATATTTGTTCCAGACAAATGCTTGCAAATTATTTTTTCTTTTTTTCCTTTTTTTTTGAATTGGGTGTTTTATTTGTCAACATAAATAATACATAGAATAGCAAAAAACTATTTATACCCGGACGTGAATATCATGAACTCGGACTAAAACATCATTTATTAAAAAACACGCAACTTGATTACCATCACGAGGCATAAAAAAAAATTTTAAAAACTGTACCAATAACTATAAATTACAAAAGAACTAAAATAAGAAAACTAGAAAGGAAACTCAGAAAAGCTAAAAGAATTATAAATCAAATACAGATAAACCCATAACCAGCACAATTATTTTATGACATACAGACCAAATAAAACTATAAATAATAAAATGATTCAAAGCAAAAAAAACCAGAATACCAAATTAAAGAAGACTGAACCTAAAACTCCAGCCAACATAATTAAAGAAAATAAACAACAAACTAAGACACCCAACTCCTAATTAATAATCTTCTAATCCCAGTTTCCACCCCCAAAGCTTCCCAACTTCTGCAGTCCTTGAAAATGAAGACAAAGTAAGGGCTGAAACACAAAATAAAAACATATTGCGCATAAACACGAGAGTCTCAATCCTTTAACAAGAGAACAATCGTGACATAGTTTGTTGACACATTCTTGGAATCCTCTAATAATTCTTGCAAACTCTAAGATGCCATTTCTGTGCAAATCTAAGATGCGCTTTTTAAGCCAAAAGCGAGTTAGATTCTTCCATGACATAATCTAAATTCGATTCAGTTTTTGTTGCAGAAGTTGACCTTGTAATTTTAATACATTGATCAGTTGCACATATATTATATCGAGAAGAGGTCCGGATCTCTTCCACCAAGGCCACCAGATCAAGTGATCCGGACTTTTGAAATTTCTCCGAAAATGATCTTTTCTCTATTATATCAGCCACGCCGAACTCACACGTGTCGTATAATTAGCACCCCGGAGATTTTCCCAGGCCGGCTATATATACAAAACCCTTATCATCATCATCAAGTCCAAAGCATTTTCTTGTTGACTTTTCGCCCAGACATGTTTAAAGTATTAAAAAACAAAAGAAAAAGACATGAAATATTTGTTTGGTTATTTTCCCTAATGCTGCAGAGAGGCAAGAGCAAAAACCTCAGAAACATAGACAGTTGGAATTAGAGAAACCAACAGTTCGATTAGTTCCTAAGTAATCAAACAAAAAGCCGACTTAATTATTCCAAAAACGTGCTATAAGTTGTAGAGTACATAACCATCCGTTTGGCATCAGAGGAAGTTGAAATTGTCACAAAATACAATAGAAGGCCACCTCTAGGAACTTATCTTATCTCTTAAAGATGCTTATTTGTTGCTAAGTAAAGCTGTCACATCTCTTAAACAATGTTAATTAACTTAATTTTATTGATATCTGCAAGTGATTAGAATAAGAACTTGGAAGTGAGTTGTATTGTGTAGCTTGTAAGATGGGGAAGAAAGGTGGAATCTTTAGGTATGCAGATGGTGTTGATAAGTTGCTGATGGTGTTCGGGACTCTGGGTAGCATCGGAGATGGGTTGATGACACCGCTGACTATGTTCGTTCTCAGCCGTGTGATCAATGAGTATGGAGGTGCTACTCTTTCTGTCTCCAATGAAGTTGTGGACAAGGTATGCAGGATTACATTATTTAATGAACTTCGGCTATAATTTCGGTTTGTATGGCTAACAAAGTACAAGATTTAATTTTTTTTGTTTAGTACGGACTCAGACTGCTAATTCTTGCAATTGGGGTTGGAATATCTGCTTTCATGGGTATGTAAAATTTAAGAGTTTTCTTCATTTTCTTTCTTTTTTCGGATGTTGTATCATTGTGTTTCGGTTTCTTTAGTCTCTAAGAACAAGGTAGGCTGCCAGAGACGTTACATAACAATAAGGCTAGCTAGAGTATGGAAGTATAACCGTGTAAGTGCAACTCATCAGAAACAGTAATTCGACAGATAGAATAAAAGGAAAAATCTGCAGACTATATATACTTGTAGGTGTACCTGAGAGAAGATGATCCGAAAGGAACTATCGTTTAGAATGATGTGTGTGTAAAACTTTATTAGCCTATATAGATTAAAACACATGTAAGTGACTAACCTGAAGACGCAATGCTCGAAACCTTGGTGTGCAAAGAGTCTTCTACGATGTCCTGATCCTTAGCAATCAAACTGTATGGGGAGTTTGTGAATATTGTGTGTATCAGCAAATGCATGGACCTTCACTTATATAGGCATATTAACCTAATAGGCTTAGCCCATCATTGAGACCTAATAGGTAACTGAATATGTCTATATCTCCTTAACCAATCAGGATTAGGAACCCCTTTAGCAAGAATAACAACTTAATATTACATACCTTTTGCAACCGGTAAAGTCCAAGTTAATTCCCTAATCCTATAACTTGATCCTCAAGTAACGTACAATGATTGTGAGACCACAAAATCTTGTGAGAACCAGATTTTACTCCAACAGTGATTATATACCTATCAACATTTGTAATTTGCAGAAGGAGTTTGTTGGACTAGAACTGCTGAGAGGCAGGCATCTCGGATGAGAATTGAGTACTTGAAATCAGTACTCAGGCAAGAAGTTGCCTTCTTTGACAGTCAGGCTAATTCTTCCATTACCTTCCAAGTCATTTCTACTATCTCTTCCGATGCTCATTTAATCCAAGACACAATTGCGGAAAAGGTTTGTGATTGATTCCCTATCGCATGCCTTCTTTTCCTTTTTAAACTCTGTAATCTTGTGTTCATCACACTTACGTTTCTTTTCTTCAGATACCGAATTGCTTGGCACATCTCTCGTCATTTATCTTCTGCTTTCCTGTTGGCTTTGTGCTTTCTTGGCGACTGGCACTGGCTGCTCTTCCATGCTCGATCATGTTTATGATCCCAGGAATTGGAATTGGGAATGTAATGAAGAAATTGGGAGGTAAGATAGCTGGTGCCTATGGGGTTGCTGGAGGGATTGCGGAACAAGCAATCTCATCAATCCGTACAGTTTATTCGTACGTTGGGGAGAATCAAACACTAAAAAAGTTCGGCATTGCTCTCGAAAAATGCACTGAGCTAGGCATAAAGCAAGGCTTCACAAAGGGATTGCTGATAGGCAGCATGGGAATGATTTATGCTGCTTGGGCTTTTCAGGCTTGGGTTGGTAGCAAACTTGTTACCGAGAGAGGAGAAAAGGGAGGCCTTGTTTTCATTTCTGGAATCTGCGTAATTCTCGGAGGAGTGTGAGTTACTTTTCTTTATGTTCCATTTTTCCTTCTTCTCTTTTACTCCTTACTTATATCTCAATTCAAGTCTCGACTCACAGCTTCAATGTTGTATTTCCAGGGCCATAATGAATGCGCTTCCAATTCTCGCTACCATCACCGCAGCTACTGCTGCTGCTACTCGAATATCTGAAATGATTGATCGAATTCCCGCTATTGATTCTGAAGATGAAAGGGGAAAAGTTTTAACATTTGTGAAAGGAGACATCGAATTTAGAAGGGTTGATTTCTGCTATCCTTCAAGACCTGATACCCTGGTTCTTCAAGGACTAAATCTCAAAGTCCAAGCTGGTAAGATGATAGGTCTTGTTGGAGGCAGCGGTTCGGGCAAGTCAACAATCATTGCTTTGCTCGAAAGATTTTATGATCCAGTAAAAGGACAGATTCTCCTCGACGGATACAAGTTAAAGAAGTTTCAGCTACAGTGGTTGAGATCACAGATGGGACTGGTCAATCAAGAGCCTATTCTCTTTGCAACATCGATAAAAGAGAATATTTTGTTCGGAAAGGAAGGAGCTTCAATGGAAAATGTAATAAGTGCAGCTAAGGATGCAAATGCACATGACTTCATTTCTAAGCTACCTCAAGGATATGATACTCAAGTAAGCCACAGTATTCTACTCACTAGAAGTTCGTCCCATTCGTTTTTATATACCACTATAAATTCTGTACCTTTCTCTTTAGGTTGGGCAATTCGGAGTTCAATTGTCTGGAGGACAAAAGCAGAGGATTTCAATAGCGAGAGCAATCATCAGAGACCCGAAAATTCTTTTGCTTGATGAAGCCACAAGTGCTTTGGATGCTCAATCCGAAAAAGTTGTACAAGAAGCCTTGGACCAAGCTTCACAAGGAAGAACAACAATCGTCATAGCTCACCGCCTCACCACAATTCGCAAGGCTGATCTGATAGTGGTTCTTCAATCGGGTAGAGTGGTGGAAAAGGGATCTCATGAGGACTTAGTCCAGAAGAACAATGGAGAAGGTGGAGCTTACAGTAAGATGCTGCAATTACAGCAACAGGCAATGCAGAACGGTGTCCCTGACATATCCTATTATCCAGACGATATCATAGACCAAAAAACCAAACATCCGCGAAATCCGCAGGCACCAAAAAGTGGGAGATCAAGCTGGAAAAATAGCCCTGCGCCAAGGAGTGGGGAAACAAACTGGCACACACCAAGGAGTGTGACACCAAGCTGGCAAAACAGCCCGGCTTATCCAGTCACCCCAATATTTTCCATCAGCATCGAGAACTCTTTCCAAGCACACTACGATGACTTTGACGATGAAAACATCTCTCATCGTTCCTCCTCCCTCTGGCGTTTATTGCAAATGAATGCACCTGAATGGAAGCAAACAATACTAGGGTGTATAGGAGCTGCTGGCTTCGGAGCTATCCAGCCAGTTCATGCCTATTGCTTAGGAACAGTCATATCGGTTTACTTCCAAACAGACAAATCCAAGATACTATCAGACACCAGATTCTACTGCTACATCTTCTTAAGCCTAGCAGTTCTCAGCTTCATTGCTAATCTCCTCCAACATTACAACTTTGCAGTTATGGGAGAGCGATTATCCAAAAGGGTTCGGATACAAATGCTCGAAAAAATTCTCACCTTTGAGATAGGGTGGTTTGATAAAGATGATAACACAAGTGCTGCCATCTGTGCACGGCTAACCACTGAAGCAAGCATGGTTAGATCCCTAACCGCAGATCGTATATCATTGTTGGTTCAGGTTTTTTTCAGTGCCTCAATAGCTTTTGTGATCGGACTCATGATCACATGGAGGATAGCCATTGTAATGATTGCGATACAGCCCTTGCTCATAGGAAGCTTTTATTCGAGGAGTGTTCTAATGAAGAGTATGTCTATAAAAGCACAGAAAGCGCAAGCCGAGGGCAGTCAACTAGCTAGTGAAGCTACTTTCAACCATAGGACTATCACTGCATTTTCTTCTCAGGATAGAATACTAAAGCTATTTGGAGATGCAATGCGAGGGCCGCGGAAGGAGAACATCAAACAGTCATGGATTTCAGGTTTGGGTCTGTTCAGCTCCCAATTTTTGACAACAGCTGCAATAGCCTTGACTTATTGGTATGGAGGAAGGCTAATGAATCAGAAGCTAGTGCCGGCGAAACACCTATTTCAAGTCTTTTTCATCTTAATGAGCACCGGTAAGAACATTGCAGACGCGGGAAGCATGACTACTGATCTAGCCAGAGGGGGAAAAGCCATCAAGTCGATATTTTCAATCCTAGACAGAGAGAGTGAAATTTCTCCTGAAGAGTCTGAAGGGATAAAAAAGATTTTCAAGGGTCACATAGAACTAAAAAATGTAGTATTCGCTTACCCGGTGAGGCCAGACCAGATGATCTTCAAGGGGCTGAATCTGAAAATTGAAGCTGGAAACACAATAGCACTAGTGGGACAGAGTGGTTCTGGAAAATCCACTGTCATTGGCTTGATCGAAAGGTTTTATGACCCGCTAAATGGATCAGTATTGATAGATGGATGCGAGATCAAGCTCTATAATTTGAGAAAATTGAGGTCACAAATTGCTTTGGTAAGCCAAGAGCCTACTCTTTTCGGAGGAACCATCCACGAAAACATTGTGTATGGTAAAGAAAATACAACAGTTTCTGAAGTAAGGAAGGCTGCAAAACTTGCCAATGCTCATGAATTTATAAGGTATCTACGCATTTCTACTTCTTCTCCACATTGCAACGCATACATTTGCTGGTCTCGATAGAGAGAAAAAAATTTAATTTTTTCTTTCTTTCTAAATTGTGCAGTTCTATGGAAGAGGGGTACGAGACTTACTGTGGCGAAAGAGGAGTGCAACTATCCGGAGGCCAGAAGCAGAGAATAGCACTTGCTCGAGCAATCCTAAAGAACCCAACAATCCTTCTGTTGGATGAAGCAACCAGCGCTCTTGACAGTGTGTCGGAAAATTTAGTCCAAGCAGCATTGGAGAAGATGATGGTCGGTAGAACATGCGTAGTTGTAGCTCACAGGTTGTCCACAATTCAGAAAGCAGACTCCATAGCTGTGATAGTGAATGGGAAGGTTGCAGAAAAAGGATCACACTCTGAGCTGCTTGCCATTGGAGGTGCATACCATTCTCTGATAAAACTACAAAGCAGTCACCCTCCACACCAACATAACATATGAAAACAAAATGACATAAATATATATTAATCTGCATGAACTGTTGGAACATGCAGATAGTGTTCAAGTACAATATTGATGAACGAAGACTATCTCTGTGTGGTCATTAAATCCTATTCATTTCAACACAGAACAACATAGAGTAGTTCAAGCTATTCTAATATATATACGAATTTGATATTTTAAGATGCATTTCAATTATTCTCGATATTTATTTAGATTTTAAAAAGTAAGTGATATCCTACCGTAATTTATGCTAAAAAGGAGGGGGAAGAATTTGATTCCCAAATCCGGTGAATTGGAGTAGAAAACGCTAACTATTAGGACAACTGAAACAACTTCTTCCTTTTAGCAGAAAACAAAGGAGGAAATATTTTTGGACCCGGCTTCTCTGCCCTCCCACTTCCCATACACTCTCATATTCTTTTATTTTGTGCAGTCACGGTTAACTCACGCTAACATTTTATATTAATTTTTTTATAGAGATTATAAGACAAAAAGAAATAGTGATATAAAATGTTAGCATGACTTAACCGTGACTGCACAAATAGGAGAAGATGAGAATGTACGAGAATTGGAAGTGCAGAGAAGCCAAGTCCAATATTTTTACCCCAACTCGATTTGGTGTTCGTGCCAACTCAGGCCCAGAGCCTTTCAATGTTTAACCCATCACTGGGATCTCACTTTTCTCCCTTATCTTGGAGAAATTTTTAATTATAATGGGTACATAAGTAGTACATCACGTATTTCAATAAAAGTGATGAGAAATTTTATTTTTTAAGTTGTACCCATTCAAAATGTATATTTCTTTCGATAGGAGAAGTTGAAGAAACTTTAAAGTGTAGTAGTCTTCCGCTGTTGAGTTATAATATACTTGAACGATTTAGTGACACATAATATTGCTAAAATGCGGAAGTGTAACTGACTACACATGTTATAACACAAATGAATTTGCAACATTGCGCAAAAGTATGACTCTCAGATTCGAAAATACTCTGAAAGGTTGGTGTTCACAGCTAACTTTGGGATTGTTCTACATGACAATTTTATTCGATTAATAATTTGGAATTACCATTTTCGGTCGACATGATACTTTTACCGGTGTTCATAGTTAACAGTCGACATCTGATTTCTTGGTAATGCAGGTCACATCATAATTTCCAATGCCACTTTTTATCCCGTAAGCTATCATTCCATTAGTAAGGATTATTTCATTGCCAGAAAATAACCGTTTGGTGGAAAAATTTTAAATTTTGATACGATCAAGCTAAGTGACTCACGAACGTCCTCCAACTGGAATTACTCTAAAATTCGTCCATTTGGTCCTGTTTTGCTCCAGAGGAAGTTGAAAGTCATATATTGAAAATACAATTCAAAGTATCAAAATTCTTTCAAAATATTTACCAAAATATACTAAGATTAGGGTAAAATATATAATATAAAATCTACTCATCAGTTGATGTTCACAGCTAACTTTGGGATTGTGCTACATGACAATTTTATTCGATTAATAATTTGGAATTACCATTTTCGGTCGACATGATACTTTTACCGGTGTTCATAGTTAACAGTCGACATCTGATTTCTTGGTAATGCAGGTCACATCATAATTTCCAATGCCACTTTTTATCCCGTAAGCTATCATTCCATTAGTAGGGATTATTTCATTGCCAGAAAATAACCGCTTGGTGGAAAAATCCTAAATTTTGATACGATCAAGCTAAGTGACTCACGAACGTCCTCCAACTGAAATTACTCCAAAATTCGCCAATTTGGTCCTGTTTTGCTCCAGAGGAAGTCGAAAGTCCTATATTGAAAATACAATTCAAAGTATCAAAATTCTTTCAAAATATTTACCAAAATATACTAAGATTAGGGTAAAATATATAATATAAAATCTACTCATCAAATACCCCCAAACTTAGCTTTTTGCTTGTCCTCAAGCAAAACAAAAATAAAAAAATAAAAACTTAACAAACTAGACAACTAGCTAAAATTAACTAACAAAAATTTTCACCTTCAAAGTTGCAATCCATAGAACATTTTAAAAACTAGAACATCTTTTCAAAAGTTCCAACCAATCCCACCACAGAGTCTAAGCCATTTAGAATCAATTAGAAAAGAATTCACAAACTTCCTTTGGTGTAAAGTGAACCAACATAGTTAAGGAAACTCGACTAAAACCCTTACCTCTCGTCATTCTTTATTTCACACATACTAACATTAAATATAACTATTTTTCTTTTTCTTTTTCTTTTTCAAATTTTTCTTTTTTTTTTCTTTCTCATTTATAACAATTTTTTTTTCAGTAACAGTAGTGGTCGTGCAATGTGGGTTCACTTAAGCTTTCGATCCAACCCATGGAGCGAGCTTTAGGTCAATGACTCCCAAACCACTAGGGTTTTAGGGCACTAGGTGTAGAACACCCCTAAGGACTTATTAACCCGAGCTGAAAAGGCTACGAAACCAACTAACCACCCTGCCCCATGCCAAAACTCTACCGTTTGACGCGAGAATCACTACTGATTAGGCAGGACTGGCCCGGTTACTAGGCAAAACCTCGAGTGAGACAATTATTACTTTATAACACAATAATCACTGACTTTACTTAAAACAAAAAAATAAAAATAAACTTAGACTAAAAGTAAGTGTTTCAATCTCACTCCCCACAAACCATGTTGGTGTGATATGCAAAGTTCAAAGTGTAATTCATGAATTAGTGTCTAAGCAACGATAAATAGAAAAGACTCTACTGTGGGATTAATCTTCACCATGTCCATTTGTTCTAACGTTTAAAATAATCTATGTATATTAACTTAAAAAGAATGAAAATTCTTAACTGACACAAAAATCAAAATTTAAAAACCTAAAATTTTACTTTCTCACCCCCAAACTTATATCACACTTTGTCCTCAAGGTGTGGAAAAATAAAAGAAAATAAATTAATAACTTTACAAAGAAAATGAAATATTAAAACAGACACCAACTAAAGCTATATGAATAAGTACAAAAATAGGACAAAGAAATGACCAAAACGACATGACAAGGAACAAAATAAATAAAATAAAAAAAAAGAGAAAAAATTGAAAAAGAAAAATAGTTATATTTAATGTTAGTATGTGTGAAATAAAGAATGACGAGAGGTAAGAGTTTTAGTCGAGTTTCCTTAACTATGTTGGTTCACTTTACACCAAATGAAGTTTGTGAATTCTTTTCTAATTGATTCTAAATGGCTTAGACTATGTGGTGGGATTGGTTGGAACTTTTGAAAAGATGTTCTAGTTTTTAAAATGTTCTATGGATTGCAACTTTGAAGGTGAAATTTTTTGTTAGTTAATTTTAGCTAGTTGTCTAGTTTGTTAAGTTTTTATTTTTTTATTTTTGTTTTGCTTGAGGACAAGCAAAAAGCTAAGTTTGGGGGTATTTGATGAGTAGATTTTATAGTATATATTTTACCCTAATCTTAGTATATTTTGGTAAATATTTTGAAAGAATTTTGATACTTTGAATTGTATTTTCAATATAGGACTTTCAACTTCCTCTGGAGCAAAACAGTACCAAATGGATGAATTTTGGAGTAATTCCAGTTGGAGGACGTTCGTGAGTCACTTAGCTTGATCGTATCAAAATTTGGGATTTTTCCTCCAAGGGGTTATATTTCCGCGTTTTGGAATTCCACGAGTTATTCTTAGTGATGGGGGAAGCACTTTATTAATAAACCATTTGCTAATTTGTTGGCAAAATATGGGATTAATCATCGTGTGGCTACATCTTATCATCCACAGACATCTGGTCAAGTGGAAGTTTCAAACAGAGAATTAAAACGCATTTTGGAGAAAACAGTTGGTTCAACATGTAAAGATTGGAGTTGAAAATTAAATGATGCATTGTGGGCCTACATGACAACTTATAAGACTCCTATTGGGATGTCACCATTTTGACTCGTTTATGGGAAAGCATGTCATTTACTTATGGAGTTTGAGCATAAGGCTTATTGGGCAATTAAAGAGTTAAATTTTTCATATCACTCAGCTGGGGAACAACGTAAATTGCAGCTCAATGAGCTGGAGGAAATTCGTCAGGCTGCTTATGAAAGTTCTCGCATCTACAAGGAAAGAACTAAGGCGTTTCATGATAGTCAAATTTTACGAAAAGAATTTCAACCAGGGCAAAAGGTTCTGCTATTCAGTTCACGGCTAAAGCTGTTTCCAGGGAAATTGAAATCTCGCTGGACTGGGCTATATTTGGTTACTAAAATCTATTCTCATGGGGCAGTTGAAATAACTAATGAGGCTCAAGGCAACGCATTCAAGGTGAATGGTCACAGGCTGAAACCATACGTGGAGTCACCGTTTGATACTGCATACGAGTCTTTGACTCTGAAGGAACCAGTGATCTAGCCACCGGACTTCCGAACGTCTAGCTACAGACTTAAAATAAAGCGCTAATTGGGAGGCAACCCAATTTTTCTAAACTTTTTCCTAATTTTAATTTTCGTTTGATTTTCTCTTTAATATAAAAAAAAAACACACCAAAAAAAAAAGGAAAAATTTTAAATGGAAAATTGCAGGTTGATTTTATTTACTCAGTTTATTTGATTTTATTTTAATTTTTTAACACTTTTCCAGAAGATCACGAACCCATCCGAGGTCATCTTGGGCTCCAAAAACGTCATTTTCCAGCACTGTGCACTGCTTCTTTATTTCATTGCCAGAAAATAACCGCTTGGTGGAAAAATCCCAAATTTTGATACGATCAAGCTAAGTGACTCACGAACGTCCTCCAACTGGAATTACTCCAAAATTCATCCATTTGGTCCTGTTTTGCTCCAGAGGAAATCGAAAGTACTATATTGAAAATACAATTCAAAGTATCAAAATTCTTTCAAAATATTTACCAAAATATACTAAGATTAGGGTAAAATATATAATATAAAATCTACTCGTTGGTGTTCACAGCTAACTTTGGGATTGTGCTACATGACAATTTTATTCGATTAATAATTTGGAATTACCATTTTCGGTCGACATGATACTTTTACCGGTGTTCATAGTTAACAGTCGACATCTGATTTCTTGGTAATGCAGGCCACATCATAATTTCCAATGCCACTTTTTATCCCGTAAGCTATCATTCCATTAGTTGGCATAGGCTAAAAGCCAGATAGTTTTCTTAATTAAGCTGTGATAAATTATGTTAATTAGATAGACTAATTAATCTTTAATTCTGCAATAAAGAACTACCACTTTGAGGGGGAACAATTCAAGTTGGATTCCAAATCCTTTATTTAAAGTTATTGCTGTACATATATGAATCTGAAAAGGAAATAAATGTGATGTTAAGTAGAGATTGAGGTTTGTAATCTTGTTGATAATATTCTTAAGATGATAACCCGCTTTGCTAGAACAGATATTAGTTCACAACTTTACAGTCTGCCCATTGCCAAATCATTATTTAAAAAATATATATCTGTTACCATAAAAAAAAATTTTATAATAATAATACTGACACACCCCGACCCGGAATGTTCACCTAGACTCTGAATCGAGCTGTACTGGCCGACACCAGGATGGTGATGAAGCCATAAAGTTTAGTGATGTGGAAAATGTGAGTAAATTTAAACTTAAAAGTGCATAAATGAAAGAGTGCGCCTACGTGTTCATACCATCAAGTACTCCAAGAATATGGTAAAATAATGACTCATACGCGCCACGAAAAGACTGTCAACGAAAGTCAACAACCTTGCCTCTAGGGCATTTTCTTCATTTCATTCTTTTAAACTTAATAAATTCGTAAAATTAGGAACGAGTTGTCACATATACCGATTACCATAACCTTGCGTGTTTGAGTGTTTGGAGGATATATACACACACATCGTCATCTTAAAAGGTGTGACGACCCGTCCCTAGATTATTTATGTAATTTCTTCCCGACTATGTGAATTGTCTATTATGCCCTTGTAGGCAAGTGACGTGGACGTGTTTATATCGCCTTTATTTTATTTCACGCTATCGCATTTAAATTGTACACGTTGTTGCGAGAGTAAATAATTTTTATCAGTGTGAAAACACTATTTCGGATAGATTTTCGATTCTCTTTTCTGTACAAAATCTAAACCCTATCCTTGGTTTTCTTTAAAGCCAGCCAACCCATGCACTCCCCATTATTTCACTCCCTCACCAATCAACTCCCTCAAATCTCTCACCAATCCCATCCATTCCCTCCTCACGGCACCTAATCAGATAAAGCAAAAGAAAAAGCTTTCTCTTTATTCCTTCTCTCTCTCCCTCTACAACCACTATAAACGGACCTCAAAGCTTGCAGATCGAACCTAAAACCACTTCCTTGTGCTCATCTCACCTTCACGAGCACAACCATACCTTTAAAACTCAGTTTGGACGAGTTTTGTATGTCGAACTCGTGAGGTCCAGCTCGGTTCGATTTTTGTCCGACGAGTTATGATCGAGTTACAAGTTTTTAGGAACTTTGAAGGCCTCTATTCAACTCCCCGAAGTCCTTAGTGAAGTTTTGGTGAAGAAACAACGTCAAAAAACCAAGTTTCGAGGAGTTCACTTTTGGCCGGAATTTTTCGAGGTGATTTCCAACCACCTCCGTCCACTTTTTGGACTCCACAAAGGTATAACATGATTCTACTCTTCATAAGCTTCAAATCCATATAAAGTAGGTCGAAAATGGTTGAGAAATGAAGAAATTACACAAGTTCAAATTTTTCCAAAAATCGGCAAGATTCGAGTTACAGACGGCAGCACCGGCGGCGGACGATGGAGCTCGCTAGAGAAGATAAGGAATATTCCGTCAAAGTTGATGGAATATTCTAACGGCGTCAGGTAACATCGTTAATCTCTGTTAAGGTTTTAACGGAATATTCCTAACGGCGTCAGTCACATTGACGGCACGTGCCTGAGCGTGGGGGCGTGTCTGGCCGTGCCTTGGCCGGCGTGTGAGGGGTCCAAAAATTTATCTAAAAATTTGTGTAGGTTTGTGACGTCGAGTATATCGATTTCATGTATTTAAACCCTAGGTTTGAGCAAACTATGAGGGTTTTATTTAAGTTTCCATATATGTGCTTTAATTAATTCTATTATAGTTATTTCACATATAGGGGAAACGTATTCCGAAGACGTACGGGGCCAGGCTAGACTCGGGGGCTACGATCCTGCGACGTACTTATGAGTGAGCAGTTTATTTTATACCTATACATATTTATAGTTTCCCTAAATGTGTAGTTACTTCCCTTTTGCACTTATATTGCCAAGTATTCGTTATTGTGATATTAATTATGATAAATGCTGCTATATGGTTGGGATATTACTATCATGACATTCATACATATTGTACATACTCATCTTGCTGCACTGGTGTTAGTACTCGCCCCAGGGCCAGGGCCTGTCCTTCATGTGTATGTTCACATCGCATCATTCGCTCACCTTGGATCCAAGTTGGTGGCAGTCTTGTCGGGCAGATTGCATTAGGCAATCTGACTTGTATGTGACCGTGCTTCTGCACTAGCCTTCACATAATCGTAGTACTAGAGCGTATTGATTACACTCAGTCCTGTTCGTGTCAGAAATTATCTGTTCGAACTCGTGTGTCAGCTTAGATGGATGAACACTTAGATATACTTGATTATCACATGATTTTTATTACTGTGGCATTGATACATCATGACTTGGCATATTTTCTGGTTATATTGTTGTTATTGTTGTTTACATACCTACGTAGTATGTTTTAAGGAAACTATACTTGTTTTATGGCGAGGGCTTACTATATTCGAAAATAAAGGTTTTCATATAAGCATTGTTTTGCTGACCCATTCAACTTTGTTTTTCTCCCCTCCAGGACCTAGATAACTGTACTCTTTGTGGCTTTAGAGGAATCTCGACAGTTGTGACATTCTCTTTAGTTTAGAAGTATGAATTTATCCATTGTTGTGTAATAAGTGTACTTTAGCTGCTTTGGACTACTTTTCGGTAGTCGTACTGTCTATTATGCTCTTAATAATTGTAGTGGGTTATTCCCACGTTTGCGCACTCTTTTGATGTTTAGTATAATTAGTTCTAATTAGTTTTAAATTTATCCACTTTTTCACATTACTTACCCTTATGGTTACGTCACCTCACGGTGATGGCCAACATGCTTCGACCTTCCTAGGTTTGGGTGTGTCAAAAAGGATTCCACTCCATTGTTCTCTAAGTTGGATCGATAATGCTTTCATCTTGTTTGTATGGTGACTGCATATTGCCTACATAGCACTTCTCATACTATAGAGCAAAAAAAAAAAAAGGCAAAAAGATTGAACTATAGACATGTGGTCAATACTTGGTCGATATTCTAAAAGTACCCATCTATTTCTCATCTAGGTCTTGTCAATGCGGCTGGGCGCCGTCACACCCTAGACGTTAAACAATAAAAAATGGTGCATAAACCTACCTAGGCGCTCATCTAGACCCGCTTAGGCCGCAATTCTCATTTATGCATTTTATTTTTCAATAAATTGTAAGAGACTTGTTGTATACGTGGATGAATAATCATTTTTCAATGTATATACCACAATACAATTATGTAATTTTTAAGTATAAGTAGACATTTATTTATATATTTAATAATAAATTCAATTAAAATTAACAAAACTGCCTAGACCCCTTAAACGCCTATGCTTAGGTCACCGTCCATCATCTGACTAGCGCCTTGTGTAAAAGTGTGACCCTCAGAATCGAAAATACTCTGAAAGGTTGGTGTTCACAACTAACTTTGGGATTGTGCTACATGACAACTTTATTCGATTAATAATTTGGAAATACCATTTTCGGTCGACATGATACTTTTACCGGTGTTCATGGTTAACAGTCGACATCTGATTTCTTGGTAATGCCGGTCACATCATAATTTCCAATGCCACTTTTTATCCCCATATAGTAAGCAATCATTCCATGAGTTGGCATAGGCTAAAAGCCAGATAATTTTCTTAATTAAGCTGTAATAAATTATATTAATTAGATAGACAAATAAATCTTTAATTCTGCAATAAAGAACTACCACTTTGAGGGGGGACAATTCAAGTTTTGATTCCAAATCCTTTATTTAAAGTTATTACTGTACATATATGCATCTGAAGAGGAAGTAAAATGTGATGTTAAGTAGAGATTGAGGTTTGAAATCTTGCTGATAATATTCTTAAGATGATAATCCGCTTTGCTAGAACAGATATTAGTTCACAACTTTACAGTCTGCCTATTGCCAAATCACTATAGAAAAAATATATGTTAACAACCATACCGATTTCCATAATCTTGCGTGTTTGCAGGATATATACATACACAACGTCATCTTAAAAGGGATTCCGCTCAACTATTCTTTAAGCTGGATCGATAATACTTTC